TTGAACACTTAAGAGTCTATTTCGATACTCATCTACATATTTATCACTATCTGAGACAATAGAAGTGTCATGGAATTATGGAGTTCAAATATCTTTAAGCTCACACCATATTCTGACTGGGTCTCTAGCGTAAATGTGTAAATTTCTGCATCTGTATGTTTTGCAGACATGTTAACTCTCATCACAGGATGAACCATATGGTCAGCCTTTCGAGTGCCGGTGGGACTCCCACCAACACTGTAACAGCTTTGTCAACACCTAGTGTAGCATATTTTAGGCATAGCAGAGTCTGGTAACGTACTGCGGGCATAAGCATCTGTGGTCCTCAGAAGCCTGAGAACACGCAGGTTTTAGCTCCCAATCTCTACATGGCTGATTCTATAAGACAACCACCTCTTGCCAGACTGCCATTATGCAAATCAGTGAAATAAATTGCTGATGTGATGTTTGGTTGGAATGGAAGCTTGCATAATTTAAGCTCTGTCACTGATTCAAGTATTCAAATTTTAACATCTAAGCAATAGTGTGGGTGAGCATATGAAAGTGAGAGTAAGAAATAAGATGACTGGGAAATTCAGTGATGAGCTTTGATAATATCTGTCAATCAGAAAAGACCAAATAGAGCAGATAAGTCTTGCCAGTATTGTAATAATGCAAAAGAAGGTGTTCTCAAAATATGCAGGATTACACTGACTGCAAACAATTCCAGAAACACTGAGGAGACATTTTTTTCACATTCATCTACTTCAATAATATGGAATAAGTTGAATATATCACTGAAAGTTTTCTAACAACAATCATCAATGAAAGCAGATTTGTAAAATGTTCAATAACATTTTAAACCTTTCAGGTTTTAGGAAACCCCAGGCAAGAAGCACAGCTGACTGGATATACGGTGTGCTTCTATCAAGACTCACAGAACTGGATCCTCCTTCCAACAATGATTCTGAGTCAGGGAGCCTCCTATAAAATGTCATTTCTGTAAGAATGGGTACATTGGTTGTTGGGCTTTCCTTTAACTTGTCATCACTAGATATTGACAAAGATGGCCACAATAAAATAATTGAATGCCTCATCTTTTGGTATTTGAAGATTTTAAATCAACTGTGTAAATGCCCAAACACAAGATGGTAAATTGACTTTTCTGAACTCTAGCACTACTTGCCAAACTTTCAGTGAAAAGCTTTCAGTAAAATATCCCAAATATGTATGAACACTGTATATCAGATTATTTGATGTCATCATTGTCCTCTTTGGATGGGATGGGGTAAGTTTCCATCCTAAAAATTATTTCAAGAAACATTTTCATAATTGTAAAAAAAAATACTAAACTGAAGATATCAGAAGTTATCTAGTCAGCTCTATTATATAGCCTGAGTGTAGTCCCTCCAAGTCAGACATTTCATACATTTCTTTGCTACTTATATAAATGTTTCTTTTCTCAAGTGTAATTACAGACACAATAACTTGCAAAGTTAATGAGCCAGAAAAATGATCTGTGTGGGAGTCAGAACTACAATATGAAGTTAACCAATATGTCACAGCGTGCCATGAAACTACAAATACAAATCGTCTTACCAAATACAAAACATCTAATCACAGGGAAAATTATGCCGACTGAGTTTTATGTGACGGCAGTAAGAGGGCGAAGAGTGAGCAATGGTGGAACGTGTGTGGGAGTCCGCGTGTGAGCATGTGGTGGGCCAGGGTTGTAAGGTCATCTGTACACTGTCATTACTGTATCCACACATTCAGTAGCAGCACACACACACACACAGCCACAAGACAGATGCACATAGAGAGCCGTATCGACAGATACATGGGTGGATACATGGACACAGAACGGCCGTTTTTGTGTATGTGACCCGGAGAAGCATCTGGCTCCTGCAGCCCGCCTACACTTACTGATTTTTCTGTGCTTTCCTGGCAAGTAAAATTACCCCCATACATCTTCTGAGGGTGACATATTGATTGTAAACTAAAGGAGAGGCTATCATCTCATCTACGGCATTGTTGCCTTTTCTGGTAAGTAAAAGTTAGCTGGACTGTTTGCTGGGCAAGACACTTTTGTAAATTCAAGTTGCTAATTGTACTTTTATAGACACAGTTCTGTCTGATAAAATGTTTCTCTCGTCTTTATCAAAAATCGGCAAATTCTACCTTTCCTGTTGTGCAACAGCAGAAAGATATGACAGGCCTGGCAAAACGAATACTGTGAAAACCAGCTGGACAAATTGTTAAACAGTGAGTTATCAGATACAAAATTGGGATAAACCAACAGGCCAAGTCTCCAAGACATGTCTTAATTTGCTTATAAAAATATACTTTCATATGCAGATACACATAAACACTCATACTAGTGCCAGCTCTTTGCAAGACCCCTCTGACTGACAGTTCTTTTTTCAGGACTTCTGAGCCCAATGTCTGGGCAGACGCTATCACTTCCACCCATTCCACCTGTCAGATGCCCTTGCCTGCTTTAATGGTGGCAGCAAAGGGGGATTGTGGGGAAGGTATGGGGGGGGGGGGATGAGCTGCTGGATCCTGTCCCTGCCTATCTGTGCCAACCCTGCATCACAGTTCATTTCGCAGCCTCCTCTCTCCTCCGCTGTGCTCAGCCAAGCCTCTCAGCAGGTGTCTCTCTGCAGAGTTCGCTCACCACACAGGATTGCATCTTTGTGCAAGAACTTAGAATTGCAAGCAAACACCCTCACAATATAACCAATGACATCAGAATTCAGAGAACTGGTAAACGTTCTAACTAAACAAGAGTAACACTTCTCCTTGTCAGTAGTTAGATTTTTTTAAACCAGAAAAAACTGCCCTACTTTACCAATGTGTAATTACAAATTAAAGTTGGTCGAGCTGTGAGCACAAACCAGTATCTTTTAAAATTTTTGTGTGAAAATCCAGGGAAGACAAAAGAAAAATGCAAACAAACTTTTTATTGTAATAGAATGTAGTAATATTGACATTGAACTTTCTAAATGAATGGAGAAGCTGATTATTTTCCTTCTCTCCACTTTGTCTGGCTGCCTGTGCTCCAAACCATTTGCAATTACTTCTGAAAGGATGAAGGTGCCCAGGTATAGCTAGATATTTCATTGAGAAAAATCATTAAGCAATCAACAAAGGTGCAGTTAGACCTCTGTTGATTTCTAAAAATCACCCTGCTGTGCTCCAAGGCTGGAGTAGGGATATGTTCAAAATGTGTGCTTAAACCATATCATAAAGTCATGTGATATCTTCAAGTGGACAGTTTATGCACTAAGGCACAAATAAGCAGCAGTAAACATCATGTCTGCATATGTCAATATGCATTTGTAGATTTTTGATCTAGAAACAGATTATTAACGCAACTGAGAACCACAAGTCTTTGTCAAAACATAGTGTTGATTGCCATGCTGCTACGGTTATGCCTGCTAATGTTTTCCTCATCTGTAAAAATTGGTGATTATGTGGTGACAATTTGTGAGACAAAGGTGATGTTGATTCTGTGGCAGCACCATCATTACTTCCTCCCCTCATTCCTACCTCTGAATGTGTGAATAACGAGATTACATTTTCTGCTAATGAATGGAGAGAAAATGCAATTAAGCCATATGGGGTGATTCATAGTGACATCCTATTTATCGAATACTCTATGCAGCTGCTAGAGCACAATATGAAATCAGTCTCAAAACCTTTGATTTGTGGCACTTTATTTGTCACCAGCTATCACAATTACATCTTTAACATTACAATTAGAATTCCAGTGATTACTGACAACAGAATGTGGTGACAGAATCAACAGCACAAAAATCCATTTCCTGTATCATCATCATTGTTTTTATGTCTGCATAATACATTTTTGTTCCGATGTTGCTTGTAGATGTGGTTACCAGGGAAACATCTCCAGTAGCCTGCAATTTTAGAGTATGGTGCCCTGTAATGTTGGCTCCACGTTGCCATAGCAAATTTCTCTGTTCCACAGCAGACACTGTATCAGGGGGCTTAGTGGACTATTGCTCCTCGGTGCAGCAAACACCGAGACAGTTAATTAGGGTTTATGGAAAAATAAATATTGTGACAGTGGTTCAAGGAAGACTTTCTCCATTAAATTAATTTACCCAATCCAGCTCTCTTTAGTCAGTTTTATTTTCAGTGTAATAGATATAGTATGCTATATACAAAGACACACTTCATTTGATAGGGACAGCCGTTATTTGAGATTATACTACTAACAATGCGACTTGAAAAACAACAGGAATGAAACTTTAAGAAATTGCCTCATAAACAGGTAAAAACAAAAAAGCTTAACTTGAATAAATCTCTGACCACAATTGATCATATCTTACGACACCCTCACTAAATAGTTCATTCATCAGTTGACAAAGACAAACATATCCACACAAACCAGAGCAGCACAGTAATGCATAACCATATGAATAGTGTATTGTGTAAAGAGTAACTTCATATACTCTCAGCATGAAAATGACAATGACAACAAAAAGTACACCATGTCCTTGGAGATAATTTATGCCTTTCCATACGATCATTTCTTAATGGTCATATTAGGCTAAATTAATCAAATGAATAAAGAGCTTCAAAAACACTTTTGTTCATCATAATTGCATGAAATATTCAATTATAAATATATCATCATGTAATATATAAATAAATAAAAATTGTGCTCCTATGCAGAGCAGGTGAATTTGAATTGGTCCCCAAAATAAGCTCAGAATCTACACTTACTGCTGTGGCTTCCGGTAAGGGGGACTGAGACAGCAATGTGGGTGAATATATCATTCTTGTGGAGGTTGGCTGTCACTTTAATTGAGACGTGGCCTATTACATATTCAAGTATGAGCTGCACTAGGATGCATTAGCCAATCATGAATGCTGTCTGCTGCCATTGGCTGAGCTCCTGAGAGAGCTCTAAACTGTGCTGAGAGGGGGTGGGAGGCTGACTGGGTGGGGGGGGGGGGGGGGGCTCTCCATCTCCTCTGCTTTCTCTCATTCAACCTCTGTAGTCAGCAAGAACGGGTGGCTGAGCTGAGCAGAGCAACGCAGCATCCACAGCTACGGCATCCTGCAGAGGACTCTGCTTCACATGGGAGAGGAAGGGTGTAAAGAGCGTCTGATAGAGAGGAAAAGGTAGACTCACAAAGGAAGAGAGAGGCAGACAGGAGAAGAAAAGCTCAGAGGGAGTAAGAGTGCAAAATGAGGGGAACTGGGTAAACGCCACTGACTAAGGACCACTGCAGCTATACTAAATCTGGAGCTGTCAGGACAACCCTGAGCACGCCAGTGAGTGAGAGGCAAGAGAGCAGAGGAGAGAAGTGATTTGAAGAGCTGATCTTATCACTCCGGATGAGTAGGAATGGGAACCCCCGAAGCCCGTCCGTCAACGGATGAAACTTCCCTAAGGAATGGTTTCTTTAGATCGCCAGTCTGAAGATTATTTTTTGGAGGAGTGACAGCACCAACAAGATACACATACACACGAGCACACACTCACTCACATATAAATACATATATACATGCATATTTCCTAGAAGTAACTTAGAGGTCACTTCTGTACTTCTTGGCACAAATCAAGTTGCTGCTGTCCTCTTTCTCCTTTGCTCCTCCATCACACCTGCCCGTGGCTGGTGGATGTCTTCTCTGCATGCACTCGCACTGCTCAGCAGTTGAACACACTCATGGTCGATGCCAAGGGAAGGAACATGAAATGTCTGACTTTCTTCTTAATGCTCCCAGAGTCAGTGAAAAGCAAGTCAAGTAAAAGCTCCAAGAAAGGAAATGCAAGCGGCAGCTCCAAGCTGCCCCCAGTCTGTTATGAGATAATCACCCTCAGGAGCAAGAAAAAGAAGAAGATGGCAGCGGACATTTTTCCCACCAAAAAACCATCTACCTCAACGGTCCAACAGTATCAACAGCAGAACCTCAACAACAACAACACTATCCAGAACTGTAACTGGCAAGGACTCTACTCGACCATACGGGAAAGGTAAGCAAACCAGAAAACTTCTTGCATGAACATAATAATGACCCAAACACTTTTCATCTGTGTTAGACTTACAGAAATTTGTTTTAAAAATGTGATACAGAAATTCCTCATCAGGTGCAACAGAGTTAAATTTAAAAGGCTGTTTTCTCAAAAGTTCATATTATTAAATCTAAAAAGTATCAGAAAACACTGTGTATGTTATCATTCTACATTGAGGGAGAGTGAACGTGTATCGGCGTGTATGTGTGTCTTTGGGTTTAGGTATGGCTGGGTGTTCCCTCTGCCCTGCGCTCACTCTGTTAGGGAACCTCTGTTTACACTCTCTCCTGCTCCCACAGACTTCACCACCCTGGCATAGCAGAGAGTGGACAGGCTACAAGTGTGTTTGATATGCACAACAGGAAGATGCTGATCTTTACCAAAAGCTAAATATTTACCTTGGCCTATCAGTAAAAGGCCCAGCTGTCCAGAGCAAAGCATGGTCTTTCTGACCTGGCTTTGTTGTCTCTCCAGAACATCACAGGGCTGTTTACCCACCTCTGTGACATGTTCCACTACTCAATAATACATGAACACAGCTTTAATGTTGGTTCCATTCTTTCGCAGTTGGAATCTTCTGTTGAGTTCATTGTGTCTTTCCCCTTCTATTGTAGAGAGGAAATAACATTTTTGACATGAGGGGCAACACAGTATGAGGTTTTGTGTGGACTTTCACAGGAGTTTGGATAATCTTCACTGAAATCTCTCCATTGGGTATACAGAAAAAAAGCAAAGCCTGTATTAAAAAAAAAGCTCAGAGATTTCGTTCACCAATTTTTAGAGATGTTATCATTCATGTGAAAACCTATTCTCATATGCACTGAAACTACTAAAACACTTCTTACCTTATCCCCTTTCAGAAATTCAGTTATGTTCAACAATGAACTGATGGCAGATGTTCATTTCGTTGTGGGTCAGCCTGGAAGGACCCAGCGCCTGCCTGGACACAGAGTAAGATATAATCAGCATGCAAAATCACAAAAACAGGGAGGAAATTAATAAACACTCACTCAGCCAGTCTGGCCCATTGTTGCACATATCATACAAACATAAAAATAATCTATCTGCCTGCAGTAATGGAACTGAAGTCCTTTGTGCCCCATACTCACTTCCGCACCATGTGTCACTTCGAGACAGTCCTCAATTATTTATGTAAATGAGGCTGAGGGAGAGCAAGTGAAGGAGGAAGGGATATCCTCCTCAGCAGTCGTCTCACACAGAATGGATTGTCTTTGTCTCTTTGCTTTTCAGAAACTGCTGTGCAATTAACCAACTTTTAATCCCCCACACTCGACAGCATACAGTTCCCATGAAAAGAGATACAAGATATCTTTGCACATCCTAAAAAGAAAACTTCGGCATTCATTCACTTGATTGGCATTTGAATAATTGAATATGAACAAGAATACTCTGCTGAAAATAATGTTGATTGATAATATGGACTCCACATTTATCCTTTTCATAATCACTGTAACCTGCAGGTCTTCTTCCTGACTTCTTTGTTTCGTCCACATGCCCTCTTTGCTCTTTCAAGATGTTCATATGAATTATTGAGGAGTAAATTTGAATGGACCATTCATCTTGTATAAATGCATTTTATTTCTATAATATTTGAGCATAACTATAAAATTATTTTAAATCTTGTAAATGGTTTTATTGCCATGACCCTGGCCCCAGCTATCTTTTCCACACCAAAAAGCTAAAAATTGGCTCTGCCTGAGGCGTTCAATTTCTTTTTGTTCTTTTTTATGGGACCAAAATAAATTAAATATGACTGGTATAGCTGCAGTGCACTTTGTACATTTAGAGATAGCAGTTAAAGAAAACTGAAGATGACTTGACTGTATTTTAGGTTGAGAAATTATGCTAATGTGATTGAAACGCGTTCAGTTCTGCGATCTTTATTAATAGTTTGGCACGATACAATACAGTTCCAATTTTCTAATTATTTCCAAGAAAGACGAAGCAGCCAAAAGCGAAACATTTCTATAGACATTTCAAAATTGTAATTGGTCATGGGGTTGGACTGATCTAATCTCATTGTGCACTGTTATGCTGGTCCTTAAATCCACATATTGTTGAAGAGCAGCTCAATTTACAACATTTATAAGCATTTCTTTTTTTCTTCTTTTTTTGCATAAACATTATCAATTCTGTACTAGTGCACATAGGTACTATAATAATGCTTTGTAAGTTTGCTATAACCAGTACAATGTTGTCATTACTGATAATTATTTATAACAATGCATGTTATCTGGTTTCATCATAAACTCTGACAAAAAAAACTGACAAATGATGCATTTCAGTAAACTGAATTCTATTTTGCTGCACATTCTCATGTCTCTACAAATCTGTCCTTGTCCTTTTAAGTAATTATAACTAGCAAAGCAAAGCTGAGAAAATCAGCAGTTACTACTACTCTAATTCGGTTTCCATTACTTTGTGGGCAGATCAGTTAAATTCTCATCAGACTCATAAGGTCACGCTTCATCTTTTTTTGTTGGATCAGATGTTTAGACCAGTCAGTTTCCTTAGTGGTAACAATATGTTGCTTTTTAGTGAGAGCAGCCTTTCATGTTGTTCTACTTGGTTTTAGCTGGGTTGATGGTTACACCATCCAGCAACCTGCCCAGTTTAGCATCTGTGGCGGGCCTCTTTGGAATGATAGGGGTTAATATATTTCCACAAGGGATAAATATATTGTGGATCATTGCCTTGCAATGAAATCATGTCCTGCAGAAAACCTTACCTTGGATTTTCAGGTGTACATTGCACTTTCCAACAGGATAAAGTTTGAAACACAAAGAGGAGTGAGAATAGAAATATAAAAACCAGAATCCTAGTTAGAAATATGTCAGGAAAAGACTTAAATCCCAGTAGAGAAGAGCAGATAGTTTTTAGTGGCTCTATTAAGTACCATGATTGTAATATACTGTGTTCCCAGCGATTACTGACAAGTGTCAGTTTCTATGGAATATGGTATTCCTGCAAAAATTCTAAACAATAAATTACAAATAGTCAGGGCTCACATATGCAAGATAGAAACATACATGCATTCTAAGCATTCCCCTTGTTTCAGATTCACTGTGAACAGCCTAGGTTTTTATTTCTCAATACCTCTTGTCACTCTGTTTTTCCCTCTTCTTTTAACAGTATGTATTGGCTGTGGGCAGCTCAGTTTTCCATGCCATGTTTTATGGAGAACTTGCCGAGAACAACGATGAAATCCACATACCAGATGTGGAACCAGAAGCCTTTTTGTCAATGCTTAAGTAAGGATTCTCCTCTACATAAACTGCACACAAATGTTCGTATTTTGTATTTGTCTGCTGTTTCCTCAGCTTTAATATGGAGCTGATATTTCACACTGATATTGGGGTAAAAAATGTTTCTATCCATTCATGGCGCATTTTGGATGGAACTTTGAAGACTTAACACTGTCAGCTTTTATCAGGGAGAATCTGTATACATCCCTTATTTTGATAGAAGCTTTCTAAGCTGAATCCCCTAATTCTGTATTCACATTTCCCCCATGTCTTTTTCATCCTTTTCATTGTGTAAGTCTTGTTTTCTTCATCTGTCGAGCCAAGTTATAGCAAAGTTTAAAGAGGATTACAGTTTGTTGGCCAGTTTGATCCCTTTCCATGGTAATATTACTCAGATTTTTTGCTACAATTTGAGCAAAAATCCACAACTGAAACATGTATGCATGTGATCTGAACTTTTTTCTTTCCCCGTATCATCATCCCTCTAACAAATATCTTTGCATCATGTCAATTTCCTTGCCAGTTTCCCAGTGTGACAAAGATGAGACTCTAACATGTTTACGTTCACAGGTACATTTACTGTGACGAAATTGACCTGACTGCTGACACTGTGTTGGCCACCCTTTATGCTGCCAAGAAGTACATTGTCCCTCACCTGGCACGAGCCTGCGTCAACTTCCTGGAGACAAGCCTGAGTGCTAAAAACGCCTGTGTGTTACTCTCTCAGAGCTGCCTGTTTGAGGAGCCAGAGCTGACACAGCGCTGCTGGGAAGTGATTGATGCCCAGGCTGAGCTGGCGTTACGTTCTGAGGGCTTCTGCGACATTGATGCCCAGACTCTGGAGAGTATCCTACAGCGAGAGACACTCAACGCTAAAGAGATAGCTGTGTTTGAGGCTGCACTAAACTGGGCCGAGGCAGAGTGCCAGAGGCGGGAGCTCACCTCCTCAACTGACAACAAGCGTAAGGTTTTGGGAAAGGCCATGTACCTGATACGCATCCCAACCATGGCTCTGGATGATTTTGCCAATGGAGCAGCTCAGTCTGGCGTGTTGACACTTAATGAGACCAATGATATATTCCTGTGGTATACAGCAGCCAAAAAGCCTGATCTGCAGTTTGTAAGCCAGCCTAGGAAGGGCCTGACACCGCAGCGCTGTCACAGATTCCAGTCCTGTGCCTACAGAAGCAATCAGTGGCGCTACCGGGGCCGCTGTGACAGTATACAGTTTGCCGTGGATAAGAGAGTTTTCATTGCTGGGTTTGGCCTGTATGGATCCAGCTGTGGCTCGGCTGAGTACAGTGCCAAAATAGAGCTGAAACGACAAGGCGTACTGCTGGGGCAAAACCTAAGCAAATACTTCTCCGATGGATCAAGCAACACCTTCCCAGTGTGGTTTGAGTATCCGGTCCAAATTGAGCCTGACACCTTCTACACTGCCAGTGTGGTTCTTGACGGGAACGAGTTGAGCTACTTTGGGCAGGAGGGTATGACAGAGGTGCAGTGTGGAAAAGTGACATTTCAGTTCCAGTGCTCCTCAGACAGCACTAATGGCACGGGGGTGCAGGGGGGGCAGATTCCTGAACTTATCTTCTATGCTTGACAACACCTGTGCAAATAATTGACAGTGCACTTATCAATGAAAGACATTAATTATTTTGAGTGTGTTGTCATTTGCTGTTATTTATTTTCACCAACACTAGATCTCAGACCAGTGAAAAGTTTTTTTTTGTTTTAATTTGAACAAATGGTGCACTTAAGTAGTATTAAATATAACTTTCAAGATGCTGAAGCATCCAAATACAAGGACAAGATGCCTTGAGGTCTTAAAAGATTAAAAAAAAATTGTGTTGCACGATATGTGCATGTAAATATGAACATATGTAAATTCTAAAATGTATAAGAAGGCATAGTTGTTACCAATACGGATCAGAAAGAGATCTTATATAGTTAATATGCTATGTTTGTCATTTCTATTCTTGCACATAATTATCAGCAATAGATCCCATTTTATAATCTATGGTGATAATTTCATGTTATGACTCATGCTGGACTATCAGTGTCATCATAGAAATGAAAAAGACGAAATATGAAAGTAAAACTAACAGAATATCTCAAGTCATGATACATTGAAAAACACAACTTTATTGTAGTCATTTGCATTTGAGTGGTTTCAGTGGAACTTACATTTTTCTTAATCTATTTCATTAACAGGGTTCTAATTGAGGGGCTTAAAGGTCTTACATTTGGTAGCACTAGATATGGGTCACTAAACTCCCCTGGTCTCTGTTGCTCTGCAGCTATGCTCATCTTATCAGTTTCAGTTTATGCTCATTATAAACAATACATTCATGTTTACAGTGAAATCAGGACCTGAAATTATTATCCCCCACTTCATATTAATGACAGTAAAAAAGATTCTTTGGTCATCTCTATATATCCACTGTGATACTCATGACATGTTCAAACTGAATCTATGTTTTTTTCAAGTTGTACTGCAACCCCAATTCCGAAAAGCTGTGACAATATAAAATGTAAATAAAAACATATGCAATGATATGCACGCCTCGTAAAACCATAATTTATTTACAATATTACAGTTGCTGAGAGTGAGACACTGCTCCATACATAAGTTCAACTTGATCTTGAGTTCTTATTTTCTCAGTTTCAGTTATGGATTTCCTAGTCTGGGATCAGCTGGTAACCACTCTCATCCTTGCAATTCCACATTTGTGATTGGCTGGTTATTGTCCCCTGAAGCTTTGCCAATGGATTGTTCCTCTAAGCCCCACACCAATCAGCCACACATAGGCATAATACTTAGATCTCGGCTGGCTGTAGTTCACTGAGTAAGTGCCAGTCTTTGGGTTGTAAGATTGCCCCAGTGTCCATTATGCTTTTGTCTCTGATTCTCTGTAGATGCTTGTTCTGGATGATTTGAATGCATTAGCTATGTTGTGTTTGTGTTTCTCCTCGGAAAACACTTGACAGTGCTTTTGCTTAGTTTGTGCTCATATTAGAAACTCAGTGCATGTGGAAGCTTGGCATTAAGGTTTTCACAATCTCTTTTGCCGATAGATCTGAAGTTTGGTTTGAGTTCGGTTCTTTTTGGCTAGCCTGCATAGGTTTTTTTATGTGTTTTATTTCTCAACCATTTAAAAAAAAAATTACCTGATTTAATGTCCCTATTGGTTCTAGGCATGTCTTAGATTTGACTAGCTCCTATAGACTTTCGCTTTTGTATTTTTCTGTACAGCTTTGGGTTGTTTGGTTCTTTTAGATTTTTTCTATGCTACACATCTAAAAATTGCCTTAGTCAAGCTTAAACTAGCTTTGGAAAAAGAAGAGTGTACCAATTTTAGGTCGTGCAATGATTTCAATGACAGTCTCTGGCCTGTTTCTAAATGGAGTCCTACCTAAGTAGGGTAGACCACAGGTTTCCAGAAACTGCCCTACAAATTTTTAGACATATATTTTAAGATTGCTTAGAAGCTGCGTATATTGATTTCTACATTTGTAAGGTGCCCCTTTTATACCCAGACATTTCTGGCCAGCTGCAAATACAGCTAATTAGTTTCAACAAGTTTCCCCATATGTTTTTTTTAGGTAACACTTTTCCCACCTTTCGTTCCCTTTTTTGTCCCTTTGAGGAGTATTGCTGGTCCATTTTTTCTTTCATGCCATAGGAATTTCATTGAATGTTTTACATGTTTTATCGTGAATAAAACCATGGTCAGGTCATCTCATGGAGACTAGCAAAGAGCTGAATTGGAGCAAATGACCAAAGTTTTTTTGTTTACATCTTACACAATATTCAATTTTTCTTGGAATTCGGGTTGTGCTAATTGTCCTAGCCCCTTGGTTTTGTTTACAGCAAAAAGAGATCAATGCCTGATTCCGTGTTAGAAGCTGCTTTGTATCTTATAGATTTTTACGTCTCTTTCTGAAAAACCCTGTGCACTCTGAAATGTGCAGCACTCCCTCACAATATGATCAAACAGTATCATTATTTCCAAAGGCATACTGTATATGCTACTATGTTGCACTGATGTAGGTTTGTGAATGAGTTTTTTATTTAACTTTGTTTGCACATTTTAATGAGGCTGTTGCTTCGATTTCCTCTGGTACTTAATATTTTTTCTGGTTTAGGCTTAACATCCTCACACTTCTCTGCTAATGGCAGTAGATGGGTAATCTGGTGTTCACATCTTGTATTTACGTGCTGAAAGACCAACGAATGTGTATGGTTATTGATGATGCAAATAAACAAAACAAGTTAAATCTAGTGCTTGTGTTTCCTATCTGTAGAACATATTTAGGCTTCATACTGTACATCAGCAATGAGGAGATAGGGATAGAGAGAGAGACTGTCCTTAAACACAACACTGCTCAGAGTGCCAGTCTTCTGTAAATAGATGGACCCCGTTTTCGCACCACTTGTACACCCTTTCTCTTTTTTTGTCAATGAAACATGAAGATAAAGATAGGCTTGATAATGTTTATAAATTGATATTATCATCTGTTCTCAAAATGCTGAAGTTTCAGTAAATTCCTGTGGCGGTTTGAGCCACAATCGATAAGGATGTGCTGATTTAAAAAAAAAAGATAAAAAGAAAAGAAACAGGTCTGGAAGGAGGATTTATATACAAAAGCCTATGAATATACTGCACCACAGTTGTATAAAGGCAATCATTTAAAAATGCTAACCATACGTACTTGTCACACATGAAGAGCAACCATATATTAGAAAAAAATGTCTCAAAAGATTTATTTAATAACACAAAAATCCCTCACTGAACCATGAAAGTAGTATCTGTTATATTATTTGTGCTTTGTATGTTCTCACAGACCATATCTCCAAGGAAATAATGAAAGACTGCTGATGATGAGGGTACTCAATAATGCTGTGAAGAAGTCTGGTTTCACCAATGAGCATTAAATTCATGATAAGATTAATTCAATATGTTGAGGGAATCTCACTAACTTGCTTCAGAGCAATTTTTCATGGCTTTGGCACTAACACAAGAAAGATCATTAATTGTGCTAGAAGTGGCAAGAGACTAGAATGGGCCAGGTGTCAGAGACAGGCCGGCTCTCAACAGGCTCAGAACACATTTTTATTATTCTACAAACTGTGAGTGATCCACTGCACTTGAAGAGCAGTTTAGATAAGTTTAACGTGAAAACCAAATCTGAAAAAGAATTCAGAATATCAATGATCACATGCAGGGGTTACAGTGTTAAAATATTTCTGTCCCGTTTGATGCATGAAGAAAACCTAATCCCATCAGAACTATTTCAATTCTTGCACATTTTCTTTATTAGCAACAATTACTATTCAAACCTATCTACTGGTGTTTGCCATAGTCACTTTGGTAGACAGGATGGCCACTCGGTAGGTTCCTGCCAATTGCTTGATAAGTGGACTGACTCTGTTCCCGATGGAGAACATCACCTTTTCTTATGTCTCAAAGACACAAGAATAAAATACATTTTATTCTACTGTGACTGTATTTGCTGTTTGCTGCAGGCAATCCCAGGGATATCTTGATCATTTCAATCTCAGAAAAATGTCTATGAATTAATGATGGGCTATGAGAAAAGGAAACACAGCTGTGGGTTTAAAGATTTTTACAAGTGTATTTTTTGTTGAAATAAGCTTTAGAAATAAATATTGAGCATTTATTGATTGAATCAAAAGTGCAGATTATAGCAAAAACTGCTCAGTAAGTGGTAACAGAGCCCATGGAAAGAGGTTACCATGAACTGGGACATTTATTCACTAGAACTAGACATAGTTGAATCATTTCAGACTATAACACAAAAAGACTGGCTTTCTTTTCTTAAATATTGGCATGTTTACAGCAATGCTGGTCTGTCTACATATGGATAAATATGACTTGGATTTGAGTAGGTAAATACTGAGTCTCAGGTGTATCATGATTACTGAAAAGAGTAAAAATACTCCTTTGGTGGATAATAGAAGCTACAGAATCCATTCAAAGCAATGAAAACCGAGAGCATCATGAGGCACAAAGGCTCACATTGGAAGTGAATTATAGTACCTCCCAGCAGTGCAGAGGTAAATACCCAGTTTACATAATTTTGTATTTGTCCCATGAAATATGACGCCAGAAGGTATATGAATGCTGCAGTCAGGGAATAACATAGTTCTTTTAAGCACAGTGCAAGTTAAATTTGTTGGGCATGCATTATGCTAATTAGCCTATTTGTTCCCACAAATATGGATTCGTACAGCTCTCACCAACAACCATTATGGCGAAGCTTGATCAAAACCCTAAATGCTGGCAGCTTCCCCAAGCAAAAGGTGATGAGGGCTGAGGATGCTACTTTTTGTATGTACTCAGGGCTTCTATTCATACTAAAGCATGTCCTCTAAGGCAGCTCTGTGGCTTTGATAATATGGAGAAAGAGGGCCCTCTCCCCCCAGGGTCTGATATAATGAGAGTGAGCTTTCTAAACATGATCTGCTGCTCTCCGCAATGCACTACTTGAAACAGCTCAAATTTGAAACAGCACAACAAACAGGACTGACTCATTTGTACACATGCTCACACATAGTCTCTCTGTGCACTGAATGGTGGGGGTGGTGGAGGGTAATTCGTTTCAATGTGTGATTGAGAGTGATTCAGAGACGGAGATGGGGCAAACCCATAGGAGACTCAGTTTATGAGAATTCATTTAGATCTCATATGAGAAATCTGCTTTTATAGTTTAATTATTTCTCGCTGGTGCAAAGATAATGTGAAATGACATATTTTTTATGATTGCATTCACGGTTTGAATTTGTGCAATTGTGAATAACAATGTGCTTTACAGTTACCGCAGGAAAAAATATTGAACTGTTCTGAAATTATATATCAGCAAAATCTTATCGCTTTGCAGCAGAAAGTCTAGCAAGCAAAAGAGACATTTTACTGGTGACAAGGTACTTCTTTTGTTAACCAAATCGGAAATGATCAGCTCATCTGAGAGTCAGCAACGAATGTCTGAACACACGAGTATAGCAGTTGTTGGAATGTCTGTTTTCCCTCCATTTAACCTTGAGGTGAACATTTTCCAAAGAGAGAGTTTATGAACAGGTATAGAGGCGGGATGTTCCACTGAGAATTTTGAATCCCGCTGAACTGAACAGCCTGTTTTTGTGTCCTAATTTAAGAAGTGGAGCTTTATCTCTGTTATCTGTTCTTCTGCTCTTATTTATGTCCTGTTTACCACAGGGAAAACCACTTTTAGTGTCTGAAGTCCATGCAATTAGCACTGCTCTAAACAGCATTACCTGGGCAACTGCGGGCTAAAACTAACAGTAAAAGCCTGTGCCACACAATACATGGAGCTTTGAAGCAGAGCTTCAGCGGTCAGTAGAAGGGGCAGTTCTTTTACAGCATATCCACAAAAGTGTACATTTCAGGTCTAATTGTGAATCTGGTAATGATGAGAGTCTTTTAGCATCAAGCCATTAAGCCAGATGATTATTTGGAGCTGCCTCAGCTGTCAAACAGAAACCCTGTTTCAAAGCCACTCTAAAATGCCTGGCCTTATTTCTGATATACTGAGTCAACAGTATAAAAAAACATTAAATGATGATGATAACTCTTTAAGTATAATGTAAACATATTTCATTTGTAAATGTGTGTTAGAATTTAGCATTCTGTTTGATTCTAGGGATTTCAGTGTTCATCTGACCTAACTAAATATCTTTATTGAGTCAAAATATTGCCTGCCTGCCCTCAATAATGGCCTCAATTTAAGCTTTACCATGCCTTACCTCCCCCTTGCTTTCACTTCCCTTTGAGATAGGAAAGCTTTTTTCAGTCTGAGCTGCTGGAAATAATCACAGGACCTGAGATGAATGAGTGTCCAGTTTTTAAAAGTTTTCAAATGACTTTGAGTGTATTCTGCTCTTTTGCACCCAGCCTTCCAATGATATTATGTATTGCATGTGTTGTAAATACAAAGCCAGTTGGTAGCTCAGATAGAAAAATGAACAATTGCAATCATGCTATAAATACTAAATAAAAGACGACATTGGGATTTGAATTATACAAAATAATCCCTGTTCCTATATGACCATGAGTAATGTCTGTTTATATTGGCATACACAGACATGAGAAGAGCATTATGTATGTCATCTGGGGAGGCAGGACAATTGCTTCTGGTAAGTACATTGAAAAGTAGAGAAACAAGAGATCATGTTTGGAAATCACTATACAAGATATAAATGTAGGCTTAATTATTTGGATTTTCATTTTATGTAATCATCACCCTTTATTTTCAAAGATATTTATGCTTCTGAAAGCAACAACATGAGTAAGTTACTGTAGATTATATCTCATTGATGCAGAGAACAGCAGTTAAACCAAGGCATCATAAATGTTCTCAAGATTATCACAGATAAATATCAAGCAACCAGCAATACCTCTCATTTCAACATTACATATGTTAGCCAAGCAGTAAAACAAGCATAGAACAAAACATTTGTATGCATATACTCAACACAATGACTTGGATTTGCAGAATTAGCATTTGTGAATACAGATGGAACAATGGAGAGTAGCTTAATATGCCCCAAAAATGCAAGATCAGGAAACATGCAGTGGTACAGTGGAATATATGAATAATTAATATCTCTATCAAAGTGCCATTTTAAATTCTGACTTCCACACCAACTCAACGGTTTTTAATGCACTTTTGGCGGTACACCTAACCCAGTCCCTCTAGCACCTTTCTTCTATCCCTCTGTTAAGGATGAGGGATAGACGAAGAGAGGATCAAAAGGGTAAATGCGTCAGAGCTCAAGAGATTGAAGTGCAGGGGCTTTGTCCTTTTGAGTGCAGTTCTGCACCTCCAGCAACACTCATGACCATGGGGAGGAGGAGCAGCTGGAATTTCATTTCTCAGTGATGACATTTTTTTCATCATGCCTCTTTTGCATAACAAAGCTGTGTCAAATTCATTATTTATGTTGAAGTGTAACTGTAAACCACCACCATGAAGGTTACACCGAGCAGTCTTCGATTTTCTGGAATCGAAAAGGTATGATATTGCCATTTCCCTTTGGAGGTTAAAAATATCCCCTCCCACCACCACCCCACACGTGCATGACTTGCTAACCATATTTAATTTGATTACGAGCTTATGTGGCTTCACATGTAATTTATCAAATAATTACAGTATGTAAGGACTGGGGTCTAACTTCTCAACTGAAGCATCCTTCCAATTTGCTTTATTAAGTCGTCTGCACTATTGACTTGTTCTGT